TCCTACTTAATCTTGTTTTTTTAAATTTTTTATGTTTAGAAATTAGGGTTAGAGTCATTTTTGGAATAAAGGATATATGCTTGTACTAATAGGGTATTCAGTCACCTAGTTATCCTTTATTTAGGAAAGAGTCCAAAAATACATGAATCAGGCAAACATCATCAATGAAAGACTAAAAGGAGGTAAAACTTAATAATTTTGAAGAGGTTATACAAATTTTTATAAGAAAAAGATAGTATTTGCTTTAAAATTTCTTCAAGTATAATTTTGATGATATTTAATTTAGAAGTACCAAGAGTGGATAAAGGAGCTGCCAAAAGATTTGTAAAAAATGCTCTTTGGGATGAAGAAAGTATATAAGTCCTATGCTGAAATGCATTTAATTTTTATATTTATTTCAGGTAGTAGTAGTAAATCTAGAAAGAGAAAGCAAACTGAAGACAAAAATCAATAATTGTGAGGATGTTGCATGTTTTTATAAAAGCAACTAATTAAACTTTATTTGACTTCCTAAAATAAGCAACTAAGTTAACTTTATTTGACTTCCTAAAATAATAGATCTATACATTTTATAATTTTGTGCAAAAAATTATTGTATAATGAATAGTTAAAAGTGTTGATCATAAAATGACATATTTACATGCATGCCCTAAAAATAACAAGACTATATAAACTACATGTATGTATACTACCGGTAATTTACTAATAACACAATTAATGTATTTATAATGTATTTTAGTGATAATCACTGTCATCAATAATGGAGTCAAAGATTAGCGGCTCTCTCCTTGCAATAATGTGTGGTGGTGAATATGTTCCTTCATCTTCTTTGCTTTTAATTTGCATCAGTTTAAACTGCTCTGTTATATTTGATTTCTTTAAAAACTTCCTACTAAAGAATGAATGACATTTCTTTATATATACATGAACAATGACTGTGATAATGAAAGCCATGAGGCACAAACTCACTGACACTGCAGTAATCATGAGTGTTACCTCTTCATCCAATCCCATGTTACTAGATAGTATATTAAGAAATGCGACTAGTCCCAGGTTAAGAAAATAAAATGATTCCAGTGCATTTAGAATATTGTAGCGATAGATATCTCTTGATAAATACAGTGCAATAGCAGAAATAAAGGCAATGATGTAATTGTTAACTTGAGGTATGGTGTTAGTGGTGTAT